TATAAAAGAGCAAGCCTCGTAGTAAATGTAAAGTGCTTCCTTTTTTTAAATAAAAAGTCTTGAGACAGCTTTAATAAAATGATGTAGCCAGGTGTAAACTGCCTCCCTTGTTCCCATTTTGTATGATCTTTCCACAACCAAGGCTGATTTGTTGCATACATTTGTTATAAGTATTTACATAACTCCATAAAAGCTTTACGAGTAAGCCTTTGGAAAATGCGTCAGTAGGAGTGGTTCTCAAGGAGGAGAAATGAAAGCAAGTGCCACACCAATGTTATTACTTCATAAAAGCTTTACAATAAAGCCTATGGCTATGATGCCAATTGGAGGTGAAATTGCGTCAGTAGGAGTGGTTCTCGAGAAGAAATGAAAGCAAGCGCCAGACCGATGTTATTACTTCATAAAAGCTTTACAGTAAAGCCTGGCATGGAGGTGAAATGCGTCAGTAGAAGTGGTTCTCAAGGAGGAGAAATGAAAGCAAGCGCCAGACTGATGTTATTACTTCATAAAAGCTTTACAATAAAGCCTATGGAAGTGAAATGCGTCAGTAGGAGCAGTTTTCACGGACAGGAAATGCTGTAAGTGGTACAATAAAGTTTGTATGGAGTGGTGACATCATCAGCGTGTGGCTTGCTTTCTATTACATTCTCGGGATCAGAAGCATGGACAGGCTCCTCTGCCGAACCCAATATATCCGTTAATTCAGATTGAAAAAAAAAAGCAGTCTTATTTAAGCAAACAACACTGTGCCAAAGCAATATTTATAATATACAGTCAGGTCCATAAATATTGGGACATCAACACAATTTTAACATTTTTGGCTCTTTACACACCACCACAATGGATTTGAAATGAAATGAACAAGATGTGCTTTAACTGCAGACTGTCAGCTTTAATTTGAGGGTATTTACATCCAAATCAGGTGAACGGTGTGTGAATTCAACAGTTTGCATATGTGCCTCCCACTTGGTAAGGGACCAAAAGTAATGGGACAATTGGCTTCTCAACTGTTCCAAGGCCAGGTCTGTGTTATTCCTCATTATCCCAATTACAATGAGCAGATAAAAGGTCCAGAGTCCATTTCAAGTGTGCTATTTGCATTTGGAATCTGTTGCTGTCAACTCTCAAGATGAGATCCAAAGAGCTGTCACTATCACTGAAGCAAGCCATCATTAGGCTGAAAAAACAAAACAAACCCATCAGAGAGATAGCAAAAACATTAGGCGTGGCCAAAACAACTGTTTGGAACATTCTTAAAAAGAAGGAACGCACCGGTGAGCTCAGCAACACCAAAAGCCCCGGAAGACCACGGAAAACAACTGTGGTGGATGACCGAAGAATTCTTTCCCTGGTGAAGAAAACACCTTTCACAACAGTTGGCCAGATCAAGAACACTCTCCAGGAGGTAGGTGTATGTGTGTCAAAGTCAACAATCAAGAGAAGACTTCACCAGAGTGAATACAGAGGGTTCACCACAAGATGGAAACCATTGGTGAGCCTCAAAAACCTGGAAGGCCAGATTAGAATTTTGCCAAACAACATCTAAAAAAAACCTTCACAGTTCTGGAACAACATCCTATGGACAGATGAGACCAAGATCAACTTGTACCAGAGTGATGGGAAGAGAAGAGTATGGAGAAGGAAAGGAACTGCTCATAATCCTAAGCATACCACCTCATCAGTGAAGCATGGTAATGGTAGTGTCATGGCGTGGGCATGTATGGCTTAAAATGGAACTGCTTCTCTTGTATTTATTGATGATGTGACTGCTGACAAAAGCAGCAGGATGAATTCCTGAAGTGTTTCGGGCAATATTATCTGCTCATATTCAGCCAAATGCTTCAGAACTCATTGGACGCACTTCACAGTGCAGATGGACAATGACCCAAAGCAGACTGCAAAAGCAACCAAAGAGTTTTTAAAGGGAAAGAAGTGGAATGTTATGCAATGGCCAAGTCAATCACCTGACCTGAATCCGATTGAGCATGCATTTCACTTGCTGAAGACAAAACTGAAGGGAAAATGCCCCAAGAACAAGCAGGAACTGAAGACAGTTGCAGTAGAGGCCTGGCAGAGCATCACCAGGGATGAAACCCAGCGTCTGGTGATGTCTATGCGTTCCAGACTTCAGGCTGTAATTGACTGCAAAGGATTTGCAACCAAGTATTAAAAAGTGAAAGTTTGATTTATGATTATTATTCTGTCCCATTACTTTTGGTGCCTTAACAAGTGGGAGGCACATATGCAAACTGTTGTAATTCCTTCACCGTTCACCTGATTTGGATGTAAACACCCTCAAATTAAAGCTGACAGTCTGCAGTTAAAGCACATCTTGTTCGTTTCATTGAAAAATCCATTGTGGTGGTGTAAAGAGCCAAAAATGTTAAAATTGTGTTGATGTCCCAATATTTTATGGACCTGACTGTAGCTGACATTTTCAATGTTTTTTTTTTCTTATTTTTCTGTATTTTGTAACAATAAATATTAATACATGTCAAATCTTATAACCAGCATCTATTGTTCACCCTTTGAAGAATAACATATTTCATTTCTGAATGTATTTGTTTTAATGGCTCTGGGTTCTGTACATGCACATTTTTTCACCAGTTGACACCATGCACAGTAATTCTTGAATGCAAACACGTTTCCTGGCCAGAACAAAAATATAAAAGGTTCCCATTGTCATTCCATTTATGTTCCACCTCTGAGGTAGATATTTTTTCTGTAAAGGCTGCCAGTGAGATGTCAGACACTGGGAACGTGAAGTAAGCAGTTATGTCACTTGTGGTATATGCATTAAGAAATGCAGGAAATAACCTTGCCACTTAAATCTTTTTTATGTAATTAATGTATAACAGGTGACTTTTTTTTTAGATCTGCCTCTAAAGAGAGTTCTAATTTTAAATAGCTGCCATGGCACCTCCGTTCTCATTATCTGTGTGCTGCTACCAGGAAGAAGGGGGCAGAGCTGGGAAGCTGAAATAGCATGGTCTGGAGGAGGACCAGAAAGGAGCTGGAGTCAGCTGCCAGAGTTTGCTGAAGACTGAGAAGAACTGGTGTTGTGGCTGTGCAGAGAGGCTCAGGATCTGTAAGAGGAGTTTTGTCCTCCTCTCTGCTGCTGACTGCTGCGGCAGGAAAGGGGGTTGGGTGCAGCAGAGACAAGCCTTTTTGCGGCTGCATGGAGAAGTGCAGGATCTGGCGGAGGAGTTCTGTCCTCCTCTCTGCTGCCGACTGCTAAGACAAGGTGGGGACGGATATGGTGAGGTGCCACAGCTGCAGGAGAGGTGCAAGGACCACATGAAATGGTCTGATGGGCTGGCTTCATTCCGTGTATAGGAAGGTGCAATCTAGTTCCTCTACTGAAGATGGTGCTCAAACACAGCAGCATTGCAGAGGAAGAGGAAGTCTGAAGGAACATGTTCCTCTATGGTTTCCTGGATCACTGGGGAAGTAATCTGGTTGGTTTCTGTCCCTTCATGTGTATCTGGTGGCCATCTTGGGCCAGGCAGAGTCTATTTAAGTCTATTGAAGACCCTGGCTCCTATGCATGGCGTGCATTCTGCGTGTGGGTAGTGTAGGGACAGGTCGCCCATCTGTCAGTGACAGTGAATAGCAGTAGGGAAAGGTTCCAGATGGATAGGGAAAGTAAAGGGTTATGCCATCCTTCCTGGAATCCTCCTATTTGGGTACAAATCGGCCAGGCTGCATTCTGCCCTTTATGACACACACTTTCGGCACATTCGTGCTTTTCTACACATCGCTGTTACATTCTGTGAGCATTCCTGGTTGGGTGCCTTCCCGCTGTGCTGTTTGCGAAGTTTGAACTTTGACCTTAATACAAGTTATCTTTCATGGAACTGGACTCAGTTTACCCTTTGCGGTTGCGGCTGTCAATTACTGGGTCCCGGACGGTGATTACACGCCAGCGCCCGGTGATTTACGACAATCTCCGAAGGGGAGGAGAACTGTTTTGTTTACTAACAGTTCTCCTCCCTGTCAGCTCGGGCATACTGCTCTGCACAGCATAGCATAGCCGTCCAAAGCAGTGTGATTACAGTGAAGCACACTGACACGGCCCCCTATGTAAAACACTCCCAGCACATAGTTAACCCTTTGATCACCCCTGATGTTAACCCCTTCCTGCCCAGTGCCATTAGTACAGTATCAATGCTTTTATTAGCATTGATCACTGTATTGGTGTCACTGGGGATGTCAGTGACATCAAGTTAGTTCCCACCAGTGTCAGAATGTCCGCCGCAGTCCTGCTATAAGTCGCTGATCGCCGCCATTACTAGTAAAAATTAAAAAAAAAAAATTCCAGTATCTATACCGCCATTTGTAAACGCTATACCTTTCACGTAAACCAATTTATTTACACATATTGGGATTTTTTTTAGCAAAGACATGTAGCAGAATACATTTTTGTGTAAATTTATGATGAAATTAGATTTTTTTTATTGGACATAACGCAAAAAATAAAAATGCACAGGCGATCAAATACCACCGAAAAAAATGGCCTCGTCAGGAAGGGGGGTAAATCCTCAGAAGGACAAGTGGTAAAAAATGGTGAATTTCATAATACATGGCAATATAGTTTACTGTAACAGGTGCAAATGACCGGAAAAGCCATCCTGTATTACCAGTATTTGTAAAGTAAAGGTTAGGGACTGATGTGAATGTACAATATACTGTATGTAAAGCACTGCGTAAATTGACAGCACCTGTAATAAACAATAATAACTAAGTGTTTTGGTCTCATTAAGCCTTGGTTCACACCAGTGTGACTTGTCATGCAGTTTGACAGTTCCAAATTGCATGACAAGTCGCACCCTATTTTTGCCAATGGAACAGTTCAAATCGGTGTGACTCCGACTTTGTAGTTCAGTAGCAATTTTGAAAAAAGGTTCCTGCACTATTCTCGGTGATTTCATCATGAAGTCACACAGATGTCATGCAAGCCACACATGAAATCATACTGACCAGCAGCTTTGAAATCGCGCTACTTCAAGCAGGGGCGGACTGACCATTTGGAAACTCTGGCACTGCCCAAGGCCCTGGGGTCAGTAGGAGGCCCCATGAGATGCCCCTGGTACCTTTTTCATAGACTTTTTTTGAGTTTGGGCAAGGACACAGGGGCCCCATGATCCCCTATTGCCCGGGGGCCCCATGAGTTGTCAGTCTGCCCCTGACTTCAAGTGAACTGGCGCAATTTTAAAGCTGCATTCAGTGTGAACCAAGGCTAAAGGGAACCTATATATTTTTTTTATACATGTATAAGAGATCAGCTTGATGTAATCAATATGTGTTAATGTTAAAAAAGAACAAAATTGTATTTCTATTTGGGGCAGTCACTTGCTCATGACATACACAGGCTCAGCTTCCTGCTTTATAGTTCTACACAATTACTGATCCTTCTCCCAATGCAAGTCATTAAAAACAATGCATTCCCTATGTGGCTGATATTTTGTATCAACAATTGTAAAGAGAGACAAATTCATTGAACTGTTACATATAGAGCTCCTTCTTGCAGCTCACCTCTAAATATAATAAAATAACAATAATATGGAACTTGTAAAAAATGTAAAATATATACAAAAAGATAGTTTAACACCCAACTCCAAGCTTCAAGCTCTTCCCCACACCTGTAACCTCTTTATTCCTGGTTGGCCTCCCATTGTGTATGTTTTGGGTGTTTTTTTATATACAGTATATTCCTTTCTTTCAGATGTCTTCTGGCCTAATACATGAAGTTCTGGTTCCTATTCAGATGTTCTCCCAGAGGTAGGTGGTCCACAATGATGCATCAATAAACGTTGAGAGCAGGTCACTGTTCCGACACACCTACATTCACAGTACTCTGGTGCTGGGTGTTATTCAACCCTAAAGACTGAGGGCATCTTGTGGTTGATTACCTGAGAGGAAGTGAGTATTTCATCCAGAAATGCTTTTGTTTCTTTTTTTAACCTCTTGTCGACCACCCACAGGAAACTACTGCAGGTAGGCGGCACAGGGAAACACTGCCACGCACCTATATGTCACAGGCTTGCTTCTGGGTTTTGAACACGCATGCGCCTCCTGCCAATCTGTGCTGTGATTGGCTACAGCACAAGTCTGTTTGCAGGTTACAGCCAATGATTTTGGCTGTATACCAGCTGATTGACTGTGGCCAATCATAGAACAGAGTCCTGTGTTTATAAACACACAGGACTTTGTACATAGACTGTGATCTGGCTGTTTCTTCTCCCTGGACTCAACTTTGAAAAAGCAGTCAGATTTGTTAGTAAAAGCAGCACACATTATACACATTACACTTGTTAGGCACACAGTTAACTTTGATTGCCCCTCTCAAGCCAGTGTCATTAGTACAATGAACAGTGTGCAGTATTACCACTGATCACTGTATTAGTGTCACTTGCAATGTCAGTGTCAGTTAGTTAGTCAGTTAGTGTCCCTCCCAGCCAGCATCAGTTAGTGCCAGATTGGCTGCCACACTATCACAGTCCCAATGACCGCCATTGCCAATATAGCGTCATAGCTGAGTAAATTCCAAGATATATATAATAGTTTTTAGATGGTATAATTTTCCAACAAACCAATTAATATACACTTATTGGGATTACTTTGTTAAACAAATACATGTAGCAGATTACATTTGGCCTAAATTTATGAAGAAAATAGATTTTTTTTTCGATTTTTTTTATAGGATATGTGTGAAACAAAATTATATACATTTTATTTAGGTACAGTGTTGCATTACAGAGCAATTGCTGTTTAAAGTAGCACAGTGCTGAATAGCAAAATGGCCTGCTCATGAATGCGGAAAACCTTCCGGTGATCAACTGGTTAATAATACTGCTGGGGGTACATAAAATAAAAACCATAAAGTTGAGCTTTATACATTGCAGTAATAACTGCAATAACTGAATGTGTTTTCACGTTAATACACAAGTAAAATCTAGGATTTAAAATTAATAGTCAGTGGTAGTTGCTTTTATTCTCCTAATACCTTTAAAGAAGAATTCCAGGGACTTTTTGTTTTTTTTTTTTTTCCCATGCAGGGATTTTGCAAGGTAACTGCTCATTTTTTTCTACGGCAAAGAGAGCAGAGATATACTTATCTAATCTGCCGATCTTCCTAGTGTAAGACCAGTCCCTGGTACCATCATGCCCATAGAACAGCTCTGTACATAAGGACGGCAGGAACAGTCCACCGCTGGACATGCGGGGGTGCAGTTTCCGGAGGATCGAAGGACCCATGCAATCCCTGGAGTTCCGCTTTAAATTAAGAAGCTAATGTAGAGCTACCCCCGCAGGAGCTGCTAGTGAAGATGGGTTCTCTGTTCTTCCACAACTCTTTAAGCTTCTTGGTTCCCATTGACACATGTATGATGCAGGCTGATCACACCTGTGTAACTTAAGCATACATGTGCTGCCACTCTATAACCGTACACAGAAAGTAGGCCACAAGCAACCGGATGATAGAGTAAATGGATGTATTATTGCAAGGCACTTAAACAAAGCATGAATCAGTAAACAGGCAATTGAATATGTTTAAAGATACTCTACTAGATAATGTGAACACTGACCCACAAGATGACAATCAACTGAACTGTAGTGATGCTAAACCAAATTATAACTGAGGCAAACAGGAGTATCGCCATTAACCAACCCAAAAATAAAGGTCCTCGAGTGCACAATACACATACATCCCCAATAGTGCGTGGGTATATGCTTTCTTATCATAGGGGTTCCCCTGGAGGTGAGTACAAGTACATGGAACCTAATTGTCAGCATTATCATTGCAGCATCATTGGGGCCGTTCTGTAAAGTGGGTCATATGTAGATGTCCCTTTAGGAATGTTAACAGTGGATGGCTGATGGGCTGATAAGTAAGGAGCAGTCTGTATCGGCATGTGGACAGGAAGGGTTTTAAGAAGGGTTATTCTGCTCACCACTACAGGTAGGCAATGGATCTGGTCCAATGCCCTTGATGGTTTGTTATCTCAGAAGGCTCAATCACCACAATGGGATCCTCACAATCACGTTCACACAAAGTTCAGTCTCTCAGCTCTGGTGTAGGCACCCACAACAGATCCCTGCAGCCCTGGCTCCAGCACCGTAAAAGCCCTTTTATTTACCATGTTGAGGACATGGATACCTGCCGACCTCTGTCTCTTCTGGTGTACTGCACAGACTCCTGCAGCAGGTCTGCATTCTCTGTCTCTCTGCAGCACAAGAGGCTCTCAGGGGCTCAGTCCTCATGCTCTATGGACACGCATCAGCCCTCCATGGCTGTCTCCCTGGTTTAGACACCCACATCAACAGGTCCACACTGTTTGGCTTCCTGGCCTGTTCTACCCATATCTCTGCAGATTTGCCAAGGAAAAGTCCTGGTCTCTCCTCTGTGGTACAGGGAATACTGGACATTAAAGTCTGCAGCTCCGTTAGCCTACATTGACTTGTATTGTGTAGTGCCCCTTTAAGGACTACAGTTCCCAGAATCCTTAGCATCTGCATAGTAAATCCTCCTTTCCCCTGATTGGGTCAGGTCCTCTGCTGCCAGGAGGACAGGGCAGAAGCGTGGTGGTGGTGGTGGTTGGGGGGATCTCAAACAGAGTCGTTCCAAGGCTCATACAGCAGTATAAGAAGTATAGGAATGTAAAGTGCAACCATTGTGTTGCACTGCAGAGCAGAAAGCAGAGCCTTTTGATGTAATGAACAAATATGGTGGTCCCATATACATACATAATTAAAAGGTATACATTGAAACAACTTTTAACACGTATCGTATCAAGCAGATCTGTTTTACATGTTTAAAACTTCTGGAAACTGTATATTCCTTTTACATTTAGTGACCTAACATCCTCTATCACCTCTATTTTCTGCCTTGCTATATTTGTATCCTTTGTACATATTTGTACTGTTTAACTGAAAGGAACAGTGACAAAAAAATGTAGTTGTGCCATTGAGAAGAAAATGTTCTTTTTCATATTTTTGTGCTCACAGATGTTGTATTGCTGTTTAGTTACTGTTCAGTTTAATTGTAATGATTAGCATAAAGCAATGTAATCACAGCCTTTTGTTTCTCTTATAGCTCAGAAAGGCGTTCTTGTTTTATCTCCTGAACACATGCATTTGTGGCTTCATATCATTTGGAGATGACCTAAAGAAAAACTGAAGACTGGCAAATACTAATGCAATGGTAGTGATTTTCCAATCTGGGGGTTTTCATACAGAGGTTGGAAAATGAGAGACTCAGCAGGGCACAAATAAATAATCCCACTTGGGCATGTTTTTGGTAGTTTAGTGGTCCATAAAGCACAGGTAGGCCTGCATGTCAGGTGGCCCAATTTTTAACATAGTTTATACAGTGTAGGGGTATCAAGGGGACAGGGAAAACCAGGGTGACATTTTTAAGGTGGTAGCTTTAAAAAAAACTATTAGTGGTTCAGGGGTATGATCTTAAAGCTGCAGGTCACCTCCATATCTAGAGTTCCCCAGATGTATATTAAAGTGTATCTTTAGTTTTGGATACAGTAGAATTCATCTAATTGCTTGTACTGGTCACTATTGTCACTGAGAAAGGACATCCAAAATGTTATGTTCTGGTGACAACTGGGAATTCCCTTGACTTTGGGAGGTTTTCTTTGAATTCCTGTTGCATCTCTGGGATGGGAAGTGAAGGGAAATTTCCCTTTGGTGCACAGACAAGAAAAAATAAACTGGTAGGGGTTTTATCTCTTCCCAAAACTAAAAAAAAGTGTTGGCTATACATATACTTAAAGAGTCCTGTATTTGCTCTAAGTTTCATGTTAACTTTCTTTTTCCTTGGAGTTGTTGTGTATTCTTCTGTTTGCACAATTCCACTATATTTTCCATGGATTGGTCCTTTAACTAGTTCCTGCCCACTCATATACTGCAGGCAGGGTGAATCACATAGATCATGTCATCCAGCCTGCCTGTGTTAGGGGTGCGCATATGCGCTCCCGCTGCTGATCGAAGCTGACACTGGCTACAGTGGGACTTTGTCAGCAGGTCCTGTTCAATGATGTTATGACTGAGACCTGTTGATCTGCTGTAGCCAATCACAGCGCAGAGTCCTGTGTTTACAAACAAACAGGGCTCTGTACACAGATCAGCAATCTGGGTGTTTCTTCTCCCTAAAAACAACCAGATATGTTCATAAAAGCACACATTACA